GGTCCACATGTAGTACCTATATATGTAATATCAAAGCAATTGGACTTGTTGTTTTTAACAAGAAGTCGAAAATATCACTTTTTACCAAAAATTACAAAAAAATTCACCAAAATTAGAGAATTAAAGATATCATTACAAAATGAACAAATCTGAGAGAGGTCCACATGTAGTACCTATATATGTAATATCAAAGCAATCAGACTATTGGTTTTTAACGAGAAGTCAAAAATATCACTTTTTACCAAAAATGACAAAAATATTCACCAAAATTAGAGAATTAAATAAATCATCACGAAATGAACAAATCTGAGAGAAGTCCACATGTAGTACCTATATATGTAATATCAAGGCAATTGGACTTGCCGTTTTTAACAAGAAGTTGAAAATATCAAAATAATAAAAATATTCATCAAAATTAGGGAATTTGAGATTTTGACATGAAATGAACAAATCTGAGAAAGAACCATCCAAGGTAAGTACCAAATTTGAAAAAAATTTTGACTTGCGGTTTCGAAGAAGAAGTTGAAATTGTAAAGTTGACGATGACAGACGACGACGGACAATCAGTAATATGAACAGCTCCGCTGTGTTGACTTTGTCGACAGCGGAGCTAAAAATATTACCTTAGCTATACTGTATAATTGATGTTTCTATGGTCAAAATAAATATCGGTAATATTAAAGGGCGGTAGTAGTCGCTCTGTGCATGTGCGACATTTGTGTTGATAAACATTGATTTTCCCACAATCCAGTGCGCTCTTCTACTGGAAATTACAAGTATGAGGTTTGACCTGGGCGCGACTTGCACTAATTACCGCCAGTGACTCCTTCGATACCTTCCGATCACCTAAAAAATACCTAAATAATGTTTGGTAACGTCCCAGTTTGTACTCATTGATCTGCGCAACAGTCAAAGTCGCCATCTTGTTTATATGAGACCCATAGATCTTGCACATACGCGGTGCGACGACTACCACCTTTTAATATTTTAAAGATGCAGTATACACTAAATGCAATTTTAGATACTGATTTGTTCAAATTCCAATTGTTGTCGATTATTCGTCAGACAGATCCATACAACAAGCAAAGTGTTTAAATAAATGATAACAATTGAAAAAATGAAGAACGAACAAGGGTCTGAAATTTCAGACAACACAACTGTAAAATAAAAAAAAAAAAACAGACTCACCTGAAACAAGTTAAATCTTTTAGAAAGTGAACTGCAGTCTTCTGAGAAGGCCGCAATGTGCCCTGGTTTGATTCGTGTGTTGTTGAGTTGTATGATATCACCCTGCACAATAACATCAGTGTCTATGTACACAATTCGACCATTGATGTTTGGAAATAATTTAGGGATATAAAATCTAGCAAAATTCAACTGAAATCAATAAAGACATTATTTAGCAAAATGTTTATTACTGTTGCAAGATGTTAAATGCAAGAAATCGTCATTTAACTGGTTGCTAAGTCATCCCTATATGACACTGATGGCGCTATTTACAATTACCGTAAAATCTGTATTAGAAGCCGCATCCCTAATAGAAGTCGCACCAATTCTTTTTCAATATTTGAGATCCAAAAAATCATCATTTCTCATATGTGGAGATGCTCTAATAGAAGCCGCATCTCCTCTGTTGCATTGTACCATTTTAATAACATAGTTGAACTCTGGTGACCTTGCCCTTTGTTATATAATATAATTCCCTCTATCACAGTTTGTTTCAATATAAATATGCATTGTCATAATTAATTTTGAATACAAACAAGTTTTGGGGTTGAACCAACAGTGGGGAATCAGTCTACCGAATGTCCTTAAAAGATATAAATATCTTACAAAAACATTGGTGCCTTATTTGTTTAATTATTTTAAGGGACATAATTTCCAGTTTTATTCAAAGTAATTCAGATATTTTAGTATAAAAATAAATGCCTCATCGCAAAAAAAAAAGTTCTGCATTTAGACGTGAAAATCTTAGCTGGCTTTTGTCCAAGTATTTTGTATTACATGAAAAGTAAAAAAAAATAAAAAACACCCTTTATGAATAGCTTATCATGTTGCAAGC